TGGCGTCCCCAGTCGTGATATTGCTGGAATAATAGTTGCCATGGGCGTGGTACCCCCCGTGAGAGTCTTACAACGGAAGAAAACAATACTCGCTCAATATGACGCAATTCCACTTCCTTGCTGGACGCCGCGATTCGCTGTGCAGAGTTGCGTCCCTTTGGCACGCCAGAAACCTATGATTGTGGGTTCGAATCCCGGTTCGCCCCGATTATGTTTCTAGGTTTGTCAGCACCATACCCATGCTCGTGGGTTTCACCGAAGTGGTAAACGTCTAAGACCTGCATCACTTCGGGCTTTCCTCCCACAGTAAGCGGTCACGCCGCGATATAACTGGAATACTGTTACAAGCGGCGTTAAACCCAACTCACTCACTCACTCACTCACTCACTCACTTCTTGCTGGACGTCAGCGTACCTTGGTGCGGAAGTACTATCACTTCAAACCTCTGCGCCATACGATGTGAAACCAGACAATTCTCCTTTTCTCGTTTCGTGTTATATCTCCGACCACGAAATGATATGTGTACGTGGTGTGACTTACACGTCATTTCAAATGGATTAACTTCATATTGATAATCCCAAAACGTGTGACATGGCTGACAATACTGTACCGATATCTTACAGCCATTGATCAGCGATTTAACAAGAGTGGTCTCCGCCATCCTTTCGTCAACAAACCCACGCTTTTGTACGATGTGACATTATTTCCGTCAATATGACAACGGATTATATATCTTCCCAGACACAGTAGGTTCAGTATTGACTACCTGTGAGACCCGTGAAGATCCGGGGTAGAATAGGTCTTCAGCAACCCATGCTTGCTGTAAAAGGCAACTATGCTTGTCGTAAGAGGCGACTAACGGGATCGGGTGGTCAGGCTCGCTGACTTGTTTGATGTCATCGTATCCCAATTGCGTGGATCGATGCTCATGATAGCAATCACTGGATTGTCTGGTCCAGACTCGATTATTTACAGACCGCCGTCATATAGCTGGAATATTGCTGAGTGCGGCGTTAAACAACCAACCAACCAACCAACGACTAGGTGTGACATATAGCTTTATATACAACTCAAAAGAAGTTAAGGAACATCCGATGTTTTAATATGACAGAAGTCAATATGTCATGGCAAATGGGTATTGCAACACACAGCCTTCAATTGTGGGTGTTCCTTAACTTGTTTTGAGTGGTATATCCCTGCACGTGATAGCCACCTCTACTCCATCCGCCACAGCTGCATCCCTCGTCAAACGACAGCACGGCGACCATGCATATCAGTATGTAGTAAAATGTTTTATTACTTGAAATACTACGTGGCCATTGTGCCTATAGGTCTACCGGGGGTCATTGGCTATAGAACATACAATAAGTGGACAATGCCTGGAAACACGTGACTAGTCAGATGACCAGATGGCCATTGGGAGTCCTACTATCACACGAGAACTGTACACGATCTTAAAGGATTAAATTACAGTTTTTCGAAAGAGCTGCTCGTTTATCCAACGACGGTAATTGTTTAACAATTGAATCGTTACAGCAAGACACGAGACGATGCTGTACTATATATTTCATGACTTAACGTTTCTCTGAGAAATGCGTGAGTACTATCAAAAACTCGCACCATCGTTGTAGCCGCTCGTCAATGCACTGTATAACACTACACAGGATTTCAATGTTTGAAAGGAATTTATCCGTCTATTCTTCGCAAGGTAATGTCTATTAAATGTTTCAAACACATTGCTGCCATTACAGTCTACGGCTAAAGCTTCAAACAGTTTATCGTGCAACTCAACCCCTTTAAACACCCTTTTCAGCTGCCTACCACACATACGCCCGTTTCTTATTGAAGGCAATCCATTCAGATAGCTGTGATCTGTCAAGTATGTATAAATGGAAAGAGGTCCGACGACTCTCTGTAAAATAAGGATTAAAGGGTTTCTCGTGAAAGCGGGCCACTTGATGATATTGTCATATATATATACACAAAATTATAGTTTTGAAAAAATTCTTATGTGAAACTCCCACAAAGCAAAGCTTCCTGTGATTTGTAATCAGGTAAAATACTGAAATGGTCTTAAAGTCTTCTGGCCTTTTTCACAAATGTTGTAGACAAACGACGCTCTTTGTCCAGACAGTGACGGCTCACTTAGTGATGAGTGAGTGAGTGAGTTTGGCTAACGCGGCTTTGAACAATATTTCAGTTACATCGTGTCAACATGAAGTGTGGCAGATCTCGGCATTTCACAACTTTACTGAAACGAACGAACGAGAGTATGGTACCGACAAGCAAATAAACCATAATCATTGCGAATCTGGGATTCGAACCTACGATGATACTTTCTTGACTCCAGTCGGCGGTTTGACTGCTGGGCCATCCGTGCCCACCGTATGCCGGGATGAGAGATATGTTATAGGCTGCCCTACCATCTGATCTTCCAAGCTACGTGTTTGGATGTCACATCGCCAATATTTCAGCCAGACATTTAGCGACAACTGGACCAGTCACCTGCATGGTACAAGTGGTCTTTAAATCCGCATGTCTTGTATCAAGTAGTGTGGTCGTCAGATGGTGTTAGAGGTGCCAGATGGGGTTAGAGGCGTCAGATGGGGTTAGGGGCGTCAGATGGGGTTAGAAGCGTCCGATGGGGTTAGAGGTGTCAGAAAGGGTTAGAGGCGTCCGATGGGGTTAGAGGCGTTAGATGGGGTTAGAGGCGTCAGATGATGTTAGAGGCGTCAGTTGGGGTTAGAGGCGTCAGATGATGTTAGAGGTGTCAGATGATGTTAGGGGCGTCAGATGGTGTTAGAGGTGTCAGATGATGTTAGAGGTGTCAGATGGGGTTAGAGGCGTCAGATGGGGTTAGAGGTGTCAGATGATGTTAGAGGCGTCAGATGGGGTTAGAGGCGTCAGATGGGGTTAGAAGCGTTAGATGGGGTTAGAGGCGTCAGATGGTTCTAGGGACGCCCGATGACCACGGAGACGACGTCAGATGGTGCTTGGCAAGTCAGTCACACGCCAGACGGTGCTAGTAACACCAGCACCATGCTCTGTTCTTCTGGCTGTGACTGTCGGTCTGGTATGTAACATCATCTAAGCTGTATGTGTCTGTTTATATGTGTCTGACACTAGGACTGTGTCTTTAACCTACATCTACGTGTGAACATTGGTATTTCTAGGTGTAAATGTGTGTGAGACTGCGTGAATGTGTTATTAAACTGCAGCTGCGTCTGAATGTGTTAATAAACTGCATCTGAGCGTGGATGTGTGTTAAGCTATGTGAATATGTTATCAAACAATGTCTGTATGTGTCTAAAGATGTGTGAATATGTTATTAAACCATGTCTGTATGTGTCTGAAGATGTGTGAATATGTTATCAAACCATGTCTGTATGTGTCTGAAGATATGTGAATATGCTATTAAACCATGTCTGTATGTGTCTGAAGATGTGTGAATATGTTATTAAACCATAATTGAACGTGTGTAAAGATGTTATTAAACCATGCATGTACGTTTGTGAAGATGTTATTAAACAATGCATGAATGTGAGTTCAGACGTATGAATATGTTATTAAACTATGCCCGTATGTGTCTGAAGATCTGTGAATATCTTATTAAACCATGTCTTTATACGTTTGAAAATGTATGAATGCTGTATTAAAACTACACCTGCTTGTGAATGTATTAATAAACTATGACTATGTGCGAATGTGTTATTAAACAATAACTATGTGTGAATGTTTTAATAAACAATAACTATGTGTGAATGTGTTATTAAGCTATTACTATGCTTGAATGTGTTATTAAACAATAACTATGTGTGAATATATTATTAAACTACAACTATGCGTGAATGTGTTATTAAACAATAACTATATGTGAATGTGTTATTAATTACGTCATTGTCAGTGAGAGATTTATTAAACTAAATGTGCAACTGTGTGTGATTGTGTGTGACTTTTATCGCAAAGTTGATACATTAATTTAACTTTATCATGATCAGACATTTAAAACAACTAAAAACGTTCAGCTCTCGCTGCTTGTTGTCCAGTGTGAAGATTAAGCCGCTCTTAGTACAAACATATGCTGGTGGAAATGAATAAGGGGAACACTCAGCTTTAGACACAGTCGTTGATTCTATCATGGATTCCAGCCTTGTCTGCCAAATACACGTGGGGAACAATGCACACAAACACATCTCAACATTTGATTCTAATTAATGTGTTGAATTTGTATGCGCGCTATTTCAAATGTACCAACAGTAAAGCTTACTTCCCAATAGCTGTCATTGTTCCATCAGTGTATCAATCTCCCTGATGATACGGGTGTAACATGTCGGAGGAAGTGTTCAGTGTTGGGCTTCGTTTTAATTTTAAAAATATTGGATTGCACATTTGAATTCATCAAACACATGTCTTGCTTCTATACGGGTAGATACATAAATCTAGAGATCTGGGTATTTAACATTTCATCATGATCACACACGATCTTCTCTTTATTGAGGTGATAACTTCCTTAAAATTTATTAGGATTTTCCTGGAAGATTTGCTTCATATATGACAGAATTTCGAGAAAACCCGCCCACACCTGTCTTTGATATTTTTTAGTAAAAGATTTATTCCACGAACGTTGTATTTTATAACAATGAAAATAATTTAGCTATATTTAATTAACTTATTGTCCCATTACCTTCAATCTTAGATATATATATATAGGTTAACAATCATGTACATCGGAATAAAAGGAGATAATGATTAATCTTTTTGGATAGATTGGAATATTTATAGCATTAATGAAAATATAAATATTTCAGTCTAAACCCACACTGGCTGGTTCTACAAGGCGTCCCAGCCAGCACAGTAGCTTGAATATAATCTCACCCCTTCGTCGAAATATGGGATTTTTATTCGTGATATTAAAATAGTTCAACACGAAATACAAAGGAGGTGGAGTAAGTACCAGGGTTATGTGTGCTCTCCTGCACGGGTTCTCAGACAACAGATCAACCTTGCTATCGGCGCTTTGCAAACTCGCAGGCTAAGCTAACTTAATTGAAGCTTTTGAACCGAAACATTCTCCAAATGCGATCACTTTCCGAACACTGATCAAACACTTATACCGCAAGACAATATTATCTACACATCCTAATTTGTATTTTCTTCGACTTGATTGATTTTGAAATGAGCATGCATGTGCACGCGACCCCAGCTCGTTCACCTCCCAATACCTGAACGGCGGCAAGATCAAAGGGCCTGGCGCGTTGGCCAGGTAAAACTGAGTTAGAGTCTTAAAGCGTCTGTACGAGGAGCAGGCGAGCGGAGGGGAGGAGATCACCAATCTCGTACAGGTAAGCGTAATTAATCTGTCACATATCGCCAAGTTTTGCTTTCAGCCTAGCGATGTTATAATTTAGATATAGCCAAGCCACATAACAAAGGCCTACAGTATTTGTACATTTCTACCATTTGTCTCTTTATCTACGTTAACGCTTTGTTCTTGGGGCAATTCCGTTGTTATCCAGTGTACATGGTAAATACACAGGATAACTGTTTACTACGACATAGGGTCGGAACCTATTTAGTACACAAGGTCTGAGGTTTAATGTATGGAGAGAGAACAAACTGTGTGAATAGCACGTCATATAAGTTGAGGCGAACCGTGCGGACGGGAGACATTGCGGGGCGAACGTCAATCATAAAACTTGAACACTGTGTCTGTTAAATTTAATAACATCTATATAGCGAGGTTCATTATCGACAAATCAGCGGTTGAAAAGGTGAGAACTGTTACTAATTTGATTGATTTTGTTTGGTTATTTTGTATTAAATTAAAACTTACATGTGTATACATCCTATGTGATATGTACGTAGTGAGCGACTATTGTACGTCCACTTTACAGGTAGAATATTTAAAGAAGTATATATTGTGCAAACTTGCATCCTTTAGTTCACTCCCGCCGGCATGTTTATATTATTGTTTAGCAGTTAAGCTTCGTACTTGTACAGGATTTCAATGCAACTGATTTCCCGCGGGGCGATTGTGTTATATATCGTAATCTACAGAATTAATGTAGCTTAGAAAGTAATTAAAATGTAAAAAATACAAATGAGACATTTACAATTTTGTGGGAAAAAAGGAAGATTTACAACAATTGAAAAATAATTATTTCAGCGCTTTATGATTCACAAAATGTTCCCGTTCAACGAATTCTTTAACTGAAAGAAAACATACACGGAACTAACATGTAATTAAATTTTATCAAGGAATTTATGAAGTGGAACTTTAGATAAATTCCCCTCATGTCTCTATATATCTGTGTACTCGCTATAACGCTCCACGCGCGGTTATAAGAGTCACGTCATACCTGAAATTGATACTATGCGTTTAAGCCACCGCATATATCGCATTTTCATGTAAAGCACAAGGAAATAATAACAAATTCTTTGAAAAAAAATAATGACTAAGAACCTATTTAATCTTTTTCATCTTTGAAAGATACAGAACATAATGCTACTTCTAAACTATTAAGCGCGGACAGTTTAGATGCTACTTATATTATACTTGGTGAGATGGATCTGTGAACGCTATTTCGTCAAGCATACATGATTGGGTGATGAACAGCTTTTGTCAGCTTTTGAATACAATCTACAAAAAAAATTCAAACCCTTGATATCATTATCCCATTTTGTGTCAGACCATGACACATAAATATGAAATTTTAACCTGTCGCGAGGGTTGTGTCGTCCCAATGGTTGATACGGCTTGTAAATATTTTATTCATTGTCGGCTAACGTTTCTTAAACACTGCCACCATTTCATTCGTAATTGCAAAACTATTTAAAATTCTTTAGTGTATCTCATTATCAAAATTAGGTAGCACTGTGGGAATATTGGTCCATCACAGCGTTACATCTCTGTTGTATCTGCATCAATTACACCGAGAAACGCATTCAACAGTAGTATTCACAGTCGTCTTGGTGAAATTGTCAGTTCAGTTTGCCCCTTGACGCGTCGGCCATTGAGCGCCTCGCATACGGGATTCTCGGAGTATATCAAGTTTTTTAACGACTTTCATAATATTTACGAAATTTCACTATGTTATGAAATACGCAAAACGGAATTTGGGCGTAATAATTTCTTGATTCAATAAAAGGTAATTATCACAACGTCTCAACGCAAATCCACGCATGTTTAGCGGGATGTTAATATGGAAAGATTCAAACACTGATATTCAAAGACATTTCACATCGCTCACTTCCGTGAACGCTTTTGTACGACATAGTCACTGGGGAATCATTTTTAGTATTATTCGAGGAAAATATGTAATATAAATATGCCTTATTTGTATACTTTCATACAGGCAACATTACACGACAATACGATATACGGTTTACGGTTTAAAATACGATGCACAGGAATTGTTGTGTTTTATTAAACATAGAATGATGCTTTTGTGACGAAATGATTCATATCCATAATATTATATTGGGATCAATTGATAGTATATCAAGTATTTATTAGTATTGATAGTCCTTATTTCTTATATAAGCAATATTGATTTGAATTAAAAATGGACTAATATAGAATAATAATAACGTTTTTTCTATGTTTTGTCGGGTATAGAATCTGATGCTGTATACATTATGCACATACCACGCACCAGTCACAAGACATATAAACGACAGATGTACACGCTAATATCTGTGAATCACGCATTATTAACAATATTTTGGACTACATAAGGTATCGAATTGTTAAAATTCCAGATAAAACACCACACATCCAAGCAGTATACGCTGTCGTGTGAACCATCAGAAATTAACATTTATGTGTTTGGGTAAGTAAATCCTATACCAGATAATCAAGATGGAATATATCGGTATTGGGTGCCACCATATTTGAGGCGATCATTCCAGCTTTCATCTGCGCAATCTCCCTACGCTGACATAGGTGGCCCGGGCCTGGAGGCTAACACGCGGAGATAGGCCGACGACTGAGCCTAGAGACGTTCTCTGACAAGTCTTACCCCTGTCTCAGGGACACAGGTCCACATCAGGCATCGCGTCACCTTCCTAATTACCCTCTCACTGCACCCCGGGGGACAAGACGGGCATTTTATTGTTCTTTTATTTAGGATATTATTTTCCTTTGTGAGGTTTCATGCCAAGACTAAAGGCCTCTGGTAGTATATGTGAGGTCTATACCAAGTCTAAAGGCCCATGGTAGTATATGTGAGGTCTCTACCAATTATAAAGACCACTAATAGTATATGTGAGGTCTATACCAAGTCTAAAGGCCCATGGTAGTATATGTGAGGTCTCTACCAAGTCTAAAGACCCCTGGTAGTATATGTGAGGTCTATACCAATTATAAAGACCACTAGTAGTATATGTGAGGTCTATACCAATTATAAAGACCACTAGTAGTATATGTGAGGTCTATACCAATTATAAAGACCACTAGTAGTATATGTGAGGTCTATACCAATTATAAAGACCACTAGTAGTATATGTGAGGTCTATACCAAGTCTAAAGGCACCTGGTAGTATATGTGAGGTCTATACCAAGACTAAAGGCACCTGGTAGTATATGTGAGGTCTATACCAAGACTAAATGCCCCTGGTAGTATATGTGAGGTCTATACCAAGACTAAAGGCCCCTGGTAGTATATGTGAGGTATATACCAAGTCTAAAGGCACCTGGTAGTATATGTGAGGTCTATACCAAGACTAAAGGCCCCTGGTAGTATATGTGAGGTCTATACCAGGCCTAAAGGCACCTGGTAGTATATGTGAGGTCTATACCAAGACTAAAGGCCCCTTGTAGTATATGTGAGGTATATACCAAGACTAAAGGCCCCTTGTAGTATATGTGAGGTATATACCAAGTCTAAAGGCACCTGGTAGTATATGTGAGGTCTCTACCAAGACTAAAGGCCCCTGGTAGTATATGTGAGGTCTCTACCAAGACTAAAGGCCCCTGGTAGTATATGTGAGGTCTCTACCAAGACTAAAGGCCCCTGGTAGTATATGTGAGGTCTCTACCAAGACTAAAGGCCCATGGTAGTATATGTGAGGTCTCTACCAAGTCTAAAGGCCCCTGGTAGTATATGTGAGGTCTATACCAGGTCTAAAGGCCCCTGGTAGTATATGTGAGGTCTCTACCAAGACTAAAGGCCCCTGGTAGTATATGTGAGGTCTCTACCAAGTCTAAAGGCCCCTGGTAGTATATGTGAGGTCTATACCAAGACTAAAGGCCCCTGGTAGTATATGTGAGGTCTATACCAAGACTAAAGGCACATGGTAGTATATGTGAGGTCTATACCAAGACTAAAGGCCCCTGGTAGTATATGTGAGGTCTATACCAAGTCTAAAGGCCCATGGTAGTATATGTGAGGTCTCTACCAAGACTAAAGGCCCCTGGTAGTATATGTGAGGTCTCTACCAAGTCTAAAGGCCCCTGGTAGTATATGTGAGGTCTCTACCAAGACTAAAGGCCCCTGGTAGTATATGTGAGGTCTATACCAAGACTAAAGGCACATGGTAGTATATGTGAGGTCTATACCAAGACTAAAGGCCCCTGGTAGTATATGTGAGGTCTATACCAAGACTAAAGGCACCTGGTAGTATATGTGAGGTCTATACCAAGACTAAAGGCACCTGGTAGTATATGTGAGGTCTCTACCAAGTCTAAAGGCACCTGGTAGTATATGTGAGGTCTATACCAAGACTAAAGGCACCTGGTAGTATATGTGAGGTCTCTACCAAGACTAAAGGCCCCTGGTAGTATATGTGAGGTCTCTACCAAGACTAAAGGCCCCTGGTAGTATATGTGAGGTCCATACCAAGACTAAAGGCACATGGTAGTATATGTGAGGTCTATACTCAAGTATCTGTTCATTTAAATTTTGGTATTTGGAACTAGTGTAGATAACAGCCCACATATCTGAGGGTGTTGGTGTAGAGAGGTTCGCCCTCACCTCGGGCTGGACAATCAGTTCCCCCGATATATTGCGTGAGTACCTGGGACATTTTTTGAATACCAAATTCCGCTCCTCTATCTGTCTCCCTGTGCAAGCACTGGGCCAATAAGGAGACGGAGTGTGTTGATGTGACGTATCACGAGAGTTGGGTAAAGAGGTGATATGTCACGGAAGACAGGGACAAGTATCATATCATAGTATTTTACATCAGCAAAGTCAGAATTGAACTACGATTTGTCAAGAGCGTTTGGTTATGTATGGTATGTATGGAAACACGGAATAACGGATATATGAAGAGGGTAGAATATAAGAATGATATATCAGGGTTTAAGTATAATGTGAACATGAAATATTCATTATATGTGCACAGTGAGGGTTGGATATGGGCGTGACTTATCGGGAGAGACGCGGTATATTAAGCGATCAGGAGTATAAATATGATATCGATGAGAGTCATGGAATACGTGTACTAATAGGTACCCCTGAAAATAACAATGAAGAAACCGGTCTATTTCTGCCTGTCTGACTGTCTGACTGTCTGACTGTCTGTCTGTCTGTCTCTCTTTCTCTCTCTTTTCTATTACCCTTCTCCGTCTCTCTCTCTCTCAATCTCTCTCTGTCCCTCTGCCTCTGCCTCTGTCTCTCTCTCTTTTCTATTACCCTTCTCCGTCTCTCTCTCTCTCTCAATCTCTCTCTGTCCCTCTGCCTCTGTCTCTCTCTCTCTTTTCTATTACCCTTCTCCGTCTCTCTCTCTCTCTCAATCTCTCTCTGTCCCTCTGCCTCTGCCTCTGTCTCTCTCTCTTTTCTATTACCCTTCTCCGTCTCTCTCTCTCAATCTCTCTCTGTCCCTCTGCCTCTCTCTCTTTTCTATTACCCTTCTCCGTCTCTCTCTCTCTCTCTCTCTCTCTCTCTCTCTCAATCTCTCTCTGTCCCTCTGCCTCTGTCTCTCTCTCTTTTCTATTACCCTTCTCCGTCTCTCTCTCTCTCTCTCTCTCTCTCTCTCTCAATCTCTCTCTGCCTCTGGCTCTCTGCCTCTCTCTCTCTCTCTCTCTATGCCCCCCCCCCCCCCCCCCCTCTCCTATTTGATGTGTACGTCATAATATGTACTACGTATGATGCAGTGCCTAGGTATGACATAGGGATAACCAGGGTACAAGGTCAGTACCTCTGTGTCGACACGACGCCGTCATCAACTCCAGCCGCGTTGTACATACAGCTATAATAACGCCCCCATCGACCTGAGAAACATTACAATGTGGCCAATGTAGAACATGATGCAGGTACGGGTGTTTAACCTACCCCACCTGGAGAGTATCATTCCAGCTGGATGTTCCGAGGATACCCTCCTCGCCTGGAGTATGTACACACCGGCGTTAATCTCCTCCCACAGGTTGGAGTAGACAACAGTGCCAGTGTAGGTGGTTAAGTCCTGGCGTCGTTACACACAGATCATTACAAGACTAGGTTAACATAGATATGTGCATAAATGCATATACAGGCGCATATCTCCGTGCACAGCAGCATATACATACGTATCTGTCCGTGCCTACCAGCACGGGGAAGTCTGTCATATTCTTCTCTGGACATGTGTTGTAGGTAAGTAGGACCCATTGTACTACCGAGGTAGGTCAGTCAACGGTCCTGAAATGCGTGAGACACGTCGTCTGAATGTGTGAAAATCCTTTCCGGAATGCGTGAGACACGTTGCCGGAATGCGTGAGACACTATGTCTGAATGTGTGAAATTCGTTGCCGGAATGAGTGAGACACGTCGTCTGAAAGTGTGAAAGTCGTTGTCGGAATGCGTTAGGCACATTGTCTGAATGTGGGAAAATCGTTGCCGGAATGGGTGAGACACGTCGTCTGAATGTGTGAAAGTCGTTGTCGGAATGCGTTAGACACATTGTCTGAATGTGTGAAAATCGTTGTCGGAATGAGTGAGACATGTTGTCTGAATGTGTGAAAATCGTTGTGTCGGAATGCGTTAGACACATTGTCTGAATGTGTGAAAACCGTTGTCTAACTGCGTGAGACACGTCGTCTGAATGTGTGAAAATCGTTGTCTGAATGCGTGAGACACGTCGTCTGAATGTGTGAAAATCGTTGCCGGAATGCGTGAGACACGTTGCTGACCGCGGTATGGTGATACATCTTCTCTCTAAGCTGCACACAAGCCTGCCATTGTGCAGGTTGCCGATACATGGGACACACAGTTGTGTATACTACTCAATACAAGTTAAGGAGCACCCAAAGTATGAAGGCTGTCAGTCAATACCCACCTACCACTACAGATTTGCTACAGTCATATGATACAATCGTTTGTTCTTTAACTTCTTTTGAGAAGTACATTTGACGTGTGCACAATGCGCGCCCCACTGCACACATGTGTACAACAGTGTCCCTCCCGGGGAGTGGACGCCGACTCCCCTCTACTGACCATACCCCTTGCATCACGGGAAGTCAATGTCTGCTACCACACTGAACTCCAAGAAGGATTTTTTTTGTTCAGTTTAAAAAACTGTAGGTCCGGTGGTCGAAAAAATACCGAAATTTAATAAAACAAGTGAACTAATAAAAAATATTAGTCGAATTAAATATATAATATAATGAAAGATGTTCATTGTCAGAGAATGACATTCCCTTCTTATAGAGCTTCTGTGAAGATTGTTCAATGAATCCAATTATTTAAGCGCCTCGGCGGAAAACAGAAACTTGATTTTATCCTTATTTGTGAAGTCCGTAAAACGCCTAATTTAAAATAAAAAGCCTATCCAAAATAAAATCTTGAAATTTTAAGTTTGATTTTAACATGAACAAGGTGCGCCTAGATGCCGTGAGTCAGCCTTGAACGTAAATCTACCCCAGAAAGGGAGAGAACTGTGTTATTTCACTACCCACCTATTATGTACATCTGGGGTCCTGATTGACCAGTACACAGAAGGGGACAATCTAGTAACAGCCGGTTTGGTTTTGTCCTGAGATTCCGCCCGGCTCGGGTTTCACGGCGTTTAGTACTGTAATGACATATGCCGGTCGGGTGGCGGAACAACACAGTAATCAGGGCCGACAACTTTATTTCAGCTTATAACTCAATTGAAATTACTACACAGCTCAGAAATGAGAAACGAGTTGTTAAATGGCAGTTTAATTGAATTACAGCCATACCTGACTGTTAGTTCTTCAGAGAGCGACTTAGAGATGAGTGTAAACATCGGTAATTAAGGACTAAGGATATATACAGTCTTCAGCCGATTGAAAGCGCAGGAAATTCCCCGATGATGAAAATGTTTAAATATGTGTGGTACGTTGAGGTATGTGCGTTCACGAGACATGATGACAGACTGAAAGAGCCACTCTTACTTAAATACTACCTGTGAAGATCCGTGTCAGAATACGTATTCAGCTGCCCATGCTTGCCGTAAAAGGCAACTATGCTTGTCGTAAGGGACGACTAACGGGATCGGGTGGTCAGGCTCGCTGACTTGGTCGATGCACGTCTTCGTATCCCAATTTCGTGGATCGATGTTCGTGATATCAGTCACTGGATTGTCTGGTCCAGACTCGATTATTTACAGACCGCCTTCATATAGTTGCAATATTCTTGAGTGCGGCGTTAAACAACAAACAAACAAACAAACAAACTTAAAAATACAACAGTGTTCCTGGTTGGAAGCACTGTCCAGGTAATGTCTGCTAAGCCTGCACATACTACGACCCGTTAGGCCAGCCACGTGGTTCTGTAGGGTCGTGGCACCAAATGTGAAATAATTATTAAAAGACATTGTTTGAGGAAGTTGAGCACATTATATCGAGCAATGCAGTGATGTAAAGTGGTATGGATGGCTGTATTGAATCTTACGAGCGAAAGCGTAACATGTATAATATTACTGAATATTAAACAGTCCTTCAAGGCTATCTGACGACATTTAACCTGAAAGCGTTTTCTCTTGAAAGTTGTTAAATCTGAAAGTATTGGGACTCCATCACGGAGGATATGGACTGACTGGCCAACGGAGTTTACCCAATTGTTTCCGTGCCTATTCTTTATTTCTCCTGACATTCACAGATGATGTTATTGTTGCAGGGATGGAGGCCTATTCAAACTTGGTGGTGTTATTCGTTGCTATGGCGACATGGTGTTCGATGTCGTCATCTGATGACATCAGACTTCCGGTTCCGTGCACAGGTAAGCTACCATTGTTTTTGTAACAGGACGTTGTTGGATTCGCCACTTTGAATGTGTGTTAAGGGGCTCTTCATCTTCCTGGGGTGTTAATTTGATTATTGTATTCTTTATTTACAAACGCACATCCGGACTTGGTTCGGTCACAGCAGCAACGCAACTATGATGAAACCTCGTTGACTCACAGATCCGGGGACGATCCTAAATACCTCGAGCTACACGTAGTTCGAGACAAAATAAACTGCCGGGTATAAGAAAGTTTACACTTGAAAATTGGAATTGACCAGACTATTAGAAACATTATCAAAACGTTACTAGGCCGAAAACAGTCACCGAAACACTGCAGACGTAGGGTCAAAAACACAGCTGTGATACCCGGATCAAAGACATCACCATCGAATTTCCATTTCTTTTTTGTTTCATTTTTAGACACCATCAGACATGGGTGTATACTTTCTTTTGCCCGGCAGTTCAGCAGAACATATAGTTCAGATATAGATTATCTCGGGCCAATAACGCTACATAGTCTTATATCGAGGTAACAGAGTTCGGGGTAAACGACTTCATTGTCTCGGTTATTGAAGCATTGTATTCAATCGCGTAGTTTAGTTTTGGCTGCTTGCTGTTTAACGCCGCAATACACCATCTGTATTAAGGCCATTAAATAATCGAGTCTGAACCAGACAATTCAGTGATTGATATTATGAGCACGAACCACACCGTCAGTGTACGATGAAATGCAATCAATCACGTCACCGATCCTGACCACGTGATCCATGAAGACGCAATTTTACAACACGCATGTTATACCGATGGCGACCTCGCGCAATCCGGAATAGCCAAGGGACAATTTTCGTGTCCAATTGTCACGTGGAAAAGATCTACATAAGTTACGCACATTACCCTTAACACTTATTTAGACGTTTGTTTAATTGGTATGGAATCCTAGAAGGGATATTCTCACGTTGTCGCACAGTAGGGCTTTGAATACAAGTTTTTTTCAAAATACAAAATTAAGGTCAATTATGTCTTGTCGCCCTATCTGAAATGTGTAAAACGGCGTTAAAATGCACGACAATGCGACAGTTGATTAAATTGTCAAGCTGTCTAATTGGGGCGGTTAATTTTGACACTTGTGGCTTGAGGATCTGTTAGGGTGAAGACGCGACAATGTCCCTGCCATGATTCCATAGATGAGAAATAAATAGAATTTTATTGCCTTTAACGTTCCAGTGTGAATTTTTTTATTGGTACGCTCTTGCCGCTAGCTGTGACATGTCGGGCGGTACTAAAAGAAGAATTCTGTCATAAAGGATTATCAGAGAGCGGAACATGAAATCTCCAATGATGCCTTCAGAATAAACACGCCAGTTAATATCACAGTAATACTCTAATAGATAACATGTATAAGTACAACCCTTTGTGTAACGGTAAAATATGAAAACAATTTTAAGACAACGTGCACTTTTTGACATGTGTTTACAAATAACTTGAAGTGTCCACCTAAACACGCCATTGAAAGTGTCACTAATGTCAACCGTCTGTGGGAAATTGGAGATATGGGCTAATCAGATACTACCTTCACGACAACTATCTCTCTTGGTTGTTTATTAAATCAGTTTCAACGTTAAAAGTTGATATTTGATGGATGTGTTTTAGCGTCGTTTTAGTGGGTTGTCGGTACAAAACTGCCCTATTGACCTTTCAGTGTTTAACTGATATGAAAATATTTGGAGATCCGTTTGACAATTTGCAGAAATGTATTGATTATTTAGATATATACTGCAAACTCACAAATATCGCAATTCCAGAAAGAGTGTAATTAGTAATTAAAGTTTATAACAATGTTCAGTGAAGTCTATTTACTCAGGTTAAACAAAATATGTCAGCTATCTTTTCGTCTCCAGACCCTGGCGCACTTTTTGATCCGCTGGTTGACACTTTCTGACAGCAATGTTGCCGCTGTTGACACTACTAATTATCTCCTTCACGGGCAGAGCGCTGCTATAATACACTGTTGATAGATTATAAACCTAATATCTAGGTGTCAATGGGGCTTATAGTGCGAGAGGCATGCTTCGTCAATTGTATGGTTAAATGAACCCGACTCCGCACCAAATTCAGTTGACAATTTAGATCAACCGGACTCCTTGTCAATATTGACTGTGGACTGTCATTCAGGTCTGCGTCGTGTCGAGCACTGGCCTGTCTGGTGGCGACTCGGCTCATAATCTTACTAAAGTCTTTTTATGATCTACAAATGTGAGTGTGATAGGCAGAAGGCATATTATCAAACATGATTAACATATCACCTCAGTGTTTATTGGTGGCTTTTGGCCGATCTTTGTTTCCCGTCGGCGATGAAATATCTGAAATTACTGGAATAGAGCTTCATGGAACCGATACTGCCACGTATGTATGCAGAAGGCTTAAAGAAGGACTAGGCGCTGAGAAATTGGCAGTCGTGGCAAATTGGCTTCAAGTCGCTCAAACGCTCTTGTGTTTATCTGTCAACGCAGATTTATGATGTCAAGGAAATAAAGTATACACCCATGTTTGATGGTGGAAAAAATTGAAACAAACTAAAAATGATTACTCCATGGTGATGTATTTGATCCAGGTATCCTAGTTGTGTTTTGGACAATACGTCTGCAGTGTTTCGGCGACCGTTTTCTGCCTTGTAAGGTTTTGTAACTTAATGTTTTGGTGAAATCCAATTTTCAAGGGTGTATATAGCCGGCAGTTTATATCGATCAAAACGTAAATTATTACCCTAATTACAATGTAGTTTCACATACGGCACTAAACACACCATCTACTCCAAACACTGATTCTCGGGTTTTACGACATTGACATTGGAATATGTCACAGTTAATGTACAACATCGATTAGTGCAGATATTTCTTTTTTTTCGTTATTGAATCTATGGATAAAACGAAACTGACATAAGCGACACCTACAGGCACAGCACAGGCGATATGTGTAATGTGAAAAGCTGACGTCGGATATTCAGTCATGTATAAAGTGAACTGAAGAGTTTGATATTGTCTATAGTATTGTATTGTGTAAATGGTCCTAAACAGCTCTGGGCCACTGCCGAACGTCAGTGCACTTTTACCTGTCTGTTTTTCGTGCGTGTAAAACGCCCGTGAGCAGCCAAGTCGGAACTTGGCGCTTAACTAGTTGATTATTATGATTATTTATGATTATTGTATACATGTCAAAGCAGTCATACATAGCTGGATCACCCCAAAACAGTTTATTGCGCTTTGCAGAACTTCTGCATTTTTAGACCCTTTAGACTGCTGTCTACCACTCGGCTTGATGATGATGATGATGACGATGATGATGATACGGCAAAACTGACGTTCATAAGGGTATGAGCGACACAGTTTGACGTAGCCAAACTAGAAATGAGAACATATTTGCTGATTTGACGTTTAAGACCACGCGTGCGAATACTATTGTGTTTAGAGTGTAGGGGGTACCAGATGATATAAATAAGTATAAGAAGACATTTTCACTTTGTGTGGGGGCGGCCGGGTTAGCCTAGTGGTTAAAGCGTTCGCTCGTCAGGCCTAAGACCCGGGTTCTATTCCCGACATGGGTACAATGTGTGAAGCCCATTTCTGGTGTCCCCCGCCGTGATATTGCTGGAATATTGCTAAAAGCTAAAACCATACTCACTCACTCACTTTGTGTGAGTTGACTGCAGTGTGAATCATCGCATTGCGAGGGACAGACATTGTAGAAACGACACGCAGTGAAAATCAATTCTTAACTGAACTTGCCCCCTGATAAAGGATCAATCCTGGCTCAGTTGTTGCTCTCTGCTTGCTACCAGCTTTTGTTTGTTTGTTTGTTGTTTAACACCGCAATATTAAAACTATATGACCGCAGTCTGTAAATAATTGAGTTTGGACCAGACAGTCTAGTTATTGACATCATGTGCATTGATCTACGCGATTGGGATACGATGACATGCATCAACCAAGTCAGCGAGCCTGACTACCCGATCCTGAGTCTACTTTCATTGGACTGATTAATTCATAATTTGTATTGATAAATATTTCATCCAAAGAAATACCTGAAAAAAATAATCTTCTGACAGGGTCTTACGACCTGCTCCATACCTACACTTACAAGCGTGAGATACCCGGGGGACCTTGCATAGCGATATATTGTAGAACGTATAGACGATGGCCCGTAACTCCCCACTTCCGACCAATCAAGCGGCTATGAAACCAGCCGGTGGTTGTAATAGTCAGATACCCACTGTTTATGCGGTCTTGGATACCGCAGCATATGCCAGCACGGCATGTCAAGGACGTAATCATACCCTATGAAGTTCTCATAGGTCAACGACTTAGTGTAGAGTGTGTCTAACACAGAATAGCAATGCCCCGGTATTGGGCGCTTATACATCTCATCCTTGTCCGAAAATAACCATTGTGCACTCACAACCCAATCCATGCTGAAGGCGAAATTTTCAGCCGTCATGTAAGGTAACCTGCCGAGATTACAGCGTTGAGGGCCTTCCACTTGCAGTTACAATCAAATACACCCTTTATTGTCAACTAAACCCTAGATGGGCTGAAGTTATTGGCTATAACAATACTCTATTGTTTTGTGTAGTGTTTGACAGTCACATAAGCAAACAGTCAACAACGAGTTAAATGCAGTAGGATATTCAGAATTATATTCATTTAAGACGGTTGATGTCAATGTCTATGGTTATATCTTCAAAATGAGGAAATACAAACGGAGTCTAGCTTTGAAGATGGGCGTATGCTCTTGTCAAGGGAATAGTTATCGTGATTTAGATGAGTTTTTGTTTGTATACATGGGCCTGCAAGAACTAGCTGCTGTCTATTCGTCTGTGCTAAAAGTAGGGGCTTTCAATATTATATATTTATCATTCTTTTCTTAAATTTCGAGATTACACACTTGACTGCATGGTTGTCGGCGAATGTGATCATAGATAATGTTTGACACTTCAAAGG